GGAAGCGTACAATGCACGCGACCTTTAACACTAACAAACAAGGGACCAAGGAACACGGCCGGGTTAGGCCTAGTCGACGTACCCAGTAAGCGCAGCAGCAAACAAACCTTGAGCTTTTCCGCGCGGCGGGCGTTACGCTCAGTGCAGCCTTGTACGCAAGGTACGGGCACCAAGGGCTCACAACTACTGGCCAGTCGCGCAGTGCAACCAGCACCGGTAGTAGTTGTGTCCTTTATGGCTATTGCACAAAACTACTGCTAACGATCAGTGCCACAGCGGGGCACGTCACTTGAACTGCAACGGCGACTGGCATACAAACGCTTGAAGCACAAACGCTTGCACGAATCTCTAACAGCACTGCACTCTAGGGCGGGGTGCCCCTTTCAGCAGCCCCATCTTTTAAAAAGATTCGTGCTACCACTCAGTCGGCAGCGGCAGACGCGTTCGGCAGGGCGTTTTTGCCTCGCACGCGGCGGCGTGGCGCGGCGCCAGCCTCTACTTGGATCCCTTCGGACGCGCTCCACATGCTCTCATACCACGCCCGGTATGTAGCAACGCGAGTATCGCTCGCGGCGAGTCGTAACTCGGTCACGAACTCGCGATTGGCACGGGAGGCTTTAGTGAGGTTATGGGAACCTATGAATAAAGCCACTCCATCATCTCCGCCTCCCGAAGCACGGCTTCGGATAAGAGCGGTTTTGGCATGGAGCGCTCCCTTGAAACCTCTAAAGCTACCTCCATAAACTTCCGAAAGGGATCTTCCGCACGTGGTGCGAACTTCGACCTGTGAATCCAGGAGCTGCAGCAAAATCTTTCCCGATTCCTTACATGCATGGGCCTTCTGCAGATCGATAAGCAATCGAACAGAGGCTCCTCGCAGCTTGGCTGCGGTAGCAGCAGATGTGAGCTCCGGATCGTCATAGGTGAACGCGGTGAGCAAAATCTCGACACATGCGGCGTCGCTGATCAGTTGCAGCAGCGGACCTAAGAAGCTAGAGTCCGGGTGGAGTGCGGTATGTGCCTCTCCACCTCGCGCCGAGGGCGCGGCATCTAGAATAGCCAACGGTACCACACGACCGTCAGCTGCCTGTTCCTGGAGAACACGGTGAGCTCGGAGTTGGGCCGCCAGGCCTTGCTCCCTTCGAGTAGAATCATCAAGGGCTTTTCTCAAACTGTCACATTCCCGTCGAAGCAACGCCAATTCAAATTCAGCTCCACCGGAGGTCCGAAGGAGATTCTGAAGCCTGCAAAGCAGCAGCAGGCAATTCCGGGGCGCTTCGACTCGGGAGAATCTGATCCTTGCATGACTCACTCGAAGCTTGGGCTTCGGAGCTCTTGCGTGGACTCCAGCCATCATGCCAAAAGGTCATGAAGGCTTTGTCGTCACTGGTAACGTGATTCAGACGTCTAGATGCGCATTCCTGGTGCAACAAAGCTCGACCAGCTGCGTTCAACCCATACACTCGAACAGATCTCCGTTCGGCTTGTGCCTGGTCTACCAAAGACCTTATATATAAGCAGCGCACTCTCTCCGCTCCTCCCTCTGCAAGTCTGCTAACCTAAGACCCACTCTCTCTATGCTTGAGGGTGTTTGGGCGTCCGGCCTCCAGGTATCGGCAGCAGGAGGCAGCACGGCGGCCAGCGCAGCATCGGCGGATCGAAGAGCGGCTGCGTTACCCTCGGCATTGAAGCCGGATTGAAAGAGACGACTCTTTGCAGAAAGAGTCCACCTCACGCCTACTAAGGCGGCGGCTGTGGCCGCCAGGATCAACGTGGCGATGGCCACGGCTCCCAAGCGGATGGCTGACGAAGTCGCGAAGACAACTTCGTCGGCGACCACAGCAACTACCTCTTGAGCGTGGGGACGCACCATGTGGTACGCGTCCCAAAACGCGACGACGGTCGCGAGAGTGGCACCTCCGGCGACGAGCGGCCCCGAAACAGGGCCATCGCCTGCTTCGTCGCAGGATGCCCGGGTGCCGCGACCCTCATGAGCCTCTTCCCCGGCCGTAGCCTCTCGCAAATGCGGCGGAGGCGTTTGACCGCTGGCCCGGTCGCGCTCGCACCATGCGAAGTGCCACCCGCAGCAGCTGGCTGCGGAACCTCCTCGGCTTGGGCCGGGGGATGCCCTTCGGCCTCAGCGAGTGGTTCCGCTTCCTGAGCGTCGAGACGCGCGTATTCGTCCGCGGTCTCGGAAAGGACCTCCGTAGGTGCGGTGGCACCGGGAGTCTCTTCAGTGTTCGGATCCTGCACTTCCAGTCCCCGCCGCACGAGCTGCCCTCTGGGTTGCTCTCATCAACCCATCATTGAGAGCGGCGGCATTCAGGATCGTGGGGGGCGCCGGCTCGATGCCTGACATGCGGAGCGCTTGAGCTGCCAGCTCAGCAGCCGGATCAAGCGCAGGAGCAGGCTGCGAAGCTTCCGCCTCGGGCTGGGGACCGGCATCGCCCGAAGGCCCGCCTTCGTCCTCCTCCTCCTCCTCCTCTTCGAACTCCTCCAGCTCCTCGGGAGGCTTCTCATCCGCGCCTTCAAGCTCGGCGTGGGCTTCACCCTCGTCGGCCACTGCCATCACTTGGGGCACGACGCTCGCGGCGTTGGCCACGGCGTCGGCCTCAGCATCGGGAAGTTCCTCCTCAGCAGGGGCGACTTCCTCGAGCGCGACAGGCTCGGCAGGGGCAGCAGCGGGCATAGCTGCGGAATGTCCGCTGGCTCGGCTTCGGCCGGCGCAGCTGCTTGGTCCGCTGGGGGATCGTTGGTGGCTGCTGGCGCTGCATTGGCCCATTCGGCCTGCTTCTTCGCCAGCCACTCTGCGCGTTTTTCCCGCTTGCGCTGTTTTGCCCCCGCACCTTGTCGACCTTGCTGGCGCGAGGTTTCGCCGAACTAACTCTTGGGATCTGCTGCAGCAGACCCTCCGCTGGCAGCTGAAGGCTGCTTCGAAGCGGCCTTCGCGGCGACGGCCGCGGCAGCGGATGCCTCGAGGGCCCTATTATATGCTCCTCGAGCGCCAAAATATACGCGGCATGAGCGGCCTCATGAGGAATGAGCACCATTCTTCAGGGCTATACTCCGACGTCCCCCAGCACTGGTCTGGAGTCATCGGAACTGGAGGCTCCGGCTTCGGCTTGGGTTTTGCCGCAGCGGGTTTGGCCTTAGCGGGCGTAGCCCTAGGCCGAGGGCTCCCACGACCCGATTTGCCTCGTCCCTTTGGACCTTTGGTCCGGCGGCCGTAGGGTCCGATCGGTGCCTGCGATCCGCCAGGCTTGCCCTCGTACCACGACGGGGTGGTTCAGAGGAATAGCGACGCGAGGCCTGGTACCGGCTCTTGCTGCGGCTGCGGCGCCTCCTTCGCCGATCGCGAGAATGGGAAGGGGAGCGGCGCTGGGAGGCAATCGGCTCTTCCACCTCCACCTCGACGTCGACTCTGCGGGCCCGGGCGCCAACTCCGCAGGAGGAGGATGGGCCTTGTACACAGAGGCGGCCTTCGAGGAGAGTGCCTTCGCCTTTGTGCAACGGGTGTACGCAGCGGTCCAGATGGAACCGGTCGGCGCAGCAGCCTTAGCTGGTCCCGCTGGCGAGCTCATTGCTCGCGGTGGCCTCGGGCGAATTGTTGAAGGCGTCCGCCCACCGGCGGAACCGCTTTCAGGATCTGCGGGACGGCACGACGGATAGCTGGAGTGGGGCACCTGCACAGCGGCACGAGGCACCTGAGGTGCCGCCTTCGGGAATCACAGGACCCCGGGCTGGTGCCGGCGGAGAAACAGCCGCCGGAACCGCTGGCTTGGTCGCAGCCGGAGCACTCGCAGGAGATGCCTGCGGTGACTTCGGCCGCTCCTTGCGCTCACGATTCTTGCGGTCTCGGCGACGCTCCTGGCCTCGGGCAGCGACGGCCCGGTAATAGGGGGTTACCCCTCTGAAGGCGAGCTTGTGCCTCGCCGATGGCATTATTCTCCAGCTCAGCCTCGGCCTGCGGATTACCGCTTTCCATCGCGGCGAGGATGGATGCTAATCGCTCGTCTTCCTCCTTTCGGAATCTTTTCGACTCCTTCGCTCTGGACTTCCGGCAAGCATCTTCTTCCCGCTGGGCGTCCTCCTCCTTGTCGCGTTTGCGAACGCTACCTCGTGACCCCTCGGAGCGAGCCACGGAAGACTGCCGATACGACGGCAGAACTTCCTGCTCCTCCTCGACGGGCGGAGGGACGCTCGAGGAGGTGTTCTCGGTTCGGGTGGCATCCTACGCTGCTGTGGCAACGGCCTCTGCGGGAGCAGCCGATGGTTCCTGTGCTCGGTCCGGAGGGACCGGAACATTGGTGCTCGGCGTGCTGCTCGGAGGGCCCATGTTCCCACTGACCGTGGCACCGCCCAGTCATTGCAGCAGGCAAGGCAGCTATGATCGCCGCCTGCTGCTGCAGCATTCCTTGGAGGAGCGAGACGACGGATGGCGCCACTGGCGCGTGTCCTCCCCACAAAGCGGGGGCGTCGGAGACGGCCCAAAAAGCGTCGAAAGCTCCGCTAAAGCAGCGGCCTGTTGTGCCAGGGCCACCTGGGCTTCGAATCCTGGCGGGACTGGAGGCCCCGCCGGAGCGACCACAGGCTCTTTGGCGTGCTAGCGGTGGGGCCCGGAGGGGTCCTTCTTCGCTGGGCGGTGGAGCTGCCAGCCTCCGCTTCGTCTGCTGGCGCCTCAGCAGCGGCTGCTTCTGCAGACGCGGCTGTGGCCGCGGAAGCCTCGCGCTCGCGCTGTTGACGTTCCAGCGCGGCCCTGGCCCATGGCGGGATCGTACGATCCGACCGAGCCGGAGGGGGCGGCGAGCGGCGGTCCACGGCGCTCTTAAGGCTCGGGTTAGGGCTGCGCACTTGGGCTCTAGGGCTTCCTAGGCACTTGCAACCCTTCCCTTGCACAACTTCAAAACTGTGCAAACTGTGCTCTAAACTGTGAAAGCTGTGCTGAGTGTGTGTGTGTGTGTGGCTACGTGCCGCGTTGAAGCTTGAGCAAGCTGCGAAACGCGGGCATCACAGCTGAGCATGCCGTAAGCATGCAGCACTCACGGAACGAAACATATATACGAAGCCTCGCAATCGGCGGTTTTTGCGCCACCCTGGATCTGCATGCTCCGAGGTAAGCCATCGGAGGCGGCGGCCGGAAGAGCAGCGGGCGAAGCCGGCGTCGAAGTCAGCGGCGCGGCGACCTGTTGCGGAGGCTGCAGGGCATTCGAGTCAGCGCAACCCTGAACAGAACCCAGTAAAACCCCGCTCTCTTTCTCTCCCTCACACTCTGCTCTCACACTCTTTCCGCGGCCAACGGCATCGAGCGCTTGGGCAAGCTGGTCCTCAGGAACCGCTTCCTCGAGAGACTGCCCTCGGCCCGT